GCAGCGATGCCTCTAGTGGACACCAGGAGAATAACGTGTATTATCTCTATAATACAGCAGTGATGCCTCTAGTGGACACCGGGAGAATAACGTGTGTCATCTCTATAATACGGCATTCATTATTCATCAACACAAATGCAAAACAATGTAAAGTAATTAAACTGTAATCCAACCAGTGGTGGGCCATCAGGGCCTGCAAGGCCTTCTCTGCTGGCCTAAACAGAATCACAAAGTTATATCTATTTTATAATTTAATAATTGTTCTTAAATACACTACATGTATTATAATTTATAAAGATATTTTCCCCATTATCTTATGTTCTCATTGCACAGCTCCTGTCTTCCTCAGTTGCTCTGCTTCCAGTGCAGCTTGTTTTAAGTAGAGCTTTTATCCAATCAGATCTCACCTCTGTGTCTCTAGGTAAGAACAGAGGCAGAGGCCTGCAGACTCACAAGTGAATCCATGTGCAGTTTAAGTGAATGGGGACGATATTGTTGATTGTCATAGTGTTCAACCAATCAGATCTTTAGTTTGACATGTCAGAGCCTGCTAGCTGGCCTACAAGTACGTGATTGGTCAGTGGGCTAGCGTGACATGTTGGGTGGTGACAATCCCAATATCTGCTGTCTCTGTGGAGCGGACATTTTCAGCCTCAAACGCATTAAAACGTATTCAACTGGGGAGGCTCGACTGTCTTCACTGGCGTCCATGAATGGAGGACTTCTTACTGGAACTAAAATGCACGGATGTACTGAACAACCGTGAGATTAAACTCTTTAACAAAGAAAGGAGGATGGACTTTGTCTTTAAATAGTGAACAGCAGCTCTGGTGATTTAAATGCATTTGTAGCTTTAATATGCTTGTTTATATATTATTATTTGTACAACTTGTTTTTCTGAAGATTTTTGTTTGGTTTAATATGTGATCGGAACTATTGTTACGTCCAATGTTGCTCTGGGGACATATTTAGCAGGTGCCTGTGTTGGAAACTTGGCGACTTTCCAAACCCTCATGGCGACTTTTCTTTGTCAAAAGCTACTAGTGACAAATCTAGAGACTTGTTATTGGAGAATTTTCTGGTGTTTTGACGTTAAAGCACGTACGTTCTGCACTGTCGTGAACGAGCAGCGGGTGCTGCCGTGAGCCCCTACGCCGCCGCCCACAGAAGCCTCGCACTGCAGTCAGAGCAGAGAGGAGACGCACTCTCGGCAGATAGTGTATCTACAGGTGTTGGCTTCATTTTTACACAAAACAAATAATAACCGTAGCTGTGTTTCAGCTGCAGGACAGCAGTGAAGGCCCAGGTACAACATGCACGGCCCGCCACTGAATCCAACCAATAGTTTCCATGGAGAGGACAAAGAGAGCAGACTCAGACTATCTGGCAGCTTTTATTCAGGTGACCCTGATGCTACAGGTGAGTTCAGTAGATCAGCAACAAGGAGACGACGTGGAGGAATAAATTAAAACCCCAAAAGAACTCGTCAGGTAAACAAAACAATAAAACTTAACAAGAATTAACTTCGGCCTCGACAACAACAAACAGAAGATTCAAATAAAAACAATTAAAAGAAAATCTGTTAGAAAACTTGAGTGCGTTTTAGTTTTTGGTTTGTTTCTTCCTCACTGTGCTTCTGTGACTCTACACACACACACACACACACACACACACACACACACACACACACACACACACACACACACTCTCTCTCTCTCTCTGTACACTAAACAGATCAAACCTTCAGTATTTACACTCTTATTTATAGACTCTCTCTCTGAACGTTCGCAGGGCTGCAGCTTTAAAGAGTTTAAGCCCCGCCTCTCTTGTTTTGGCTTCGGTCGGCCAATCAGCAGCTGCTGTTCTTGAACTCTCCGTTCTCAGTGATGGACAGTTTGGTGGGGTTGGTGGGTGACAGGCCGTTGCGGAGGTTCGGCGTGTTGTAGCGCTCCTTCACCTGCGTCAGCGCCGCCATCAGCCGCGAGTTCGCAGCGTCCAGCGAGTCGATCCGCTTCTCCTGATCGGACAGAAAGAGAAGAAACAAGGTTTTAAAAACACAAAACAATCACCTGACCTCCTGTAGGCAGCTATCATCCATCAGAAACACTGAATCACACCTTTATTTTGAAAAGATAAAAACTATTTCAAAAGCTTTGATAAGCAAATTAATTTGAGAAGATTTAGTTTCAAACACAATAACAAAGGTTTTAATGAGTTTAAAGTGTGACTGAAGGTAAATGATGCTGCAGGGATTTTAATAAACATGTATTCACGTATTAGAAGCTTTATTAGATAGTTTGAAAGCATCCCTGAAACTTATTTTATATTAAACGCATCAAATGTTGTAATTAAAGGACTTTCATGTTTTTATAAACACATTTCCAAAATCCCAAATTATTACATTTATCCCCATAAAATACATTTTTAATTACATTAGTTACTCTATTACATCGCTGTGTAACTGTTAAAATAATGAAACTAACATAAATAATTAAAACATTTTCAGGAGAGTAATTATATTCTCGTTCATATTTACGGTATTTAATGGAAACAATGATTTCTATAAATGTAAAATACATCGTTACAGATAACTTACATCTGTGTGTGAAGAATTATAAAAGAGGTTAAAGATAAGTGAAAAGTAATTATTTCATCGTCACCTAAGTTGATATTTAATATATTAATGAAATGATTTCTTTGCTGATCAGTTTACAGAGAGTAAGATAATGAATGGAATATACAGTAATGAAGGATTAAAAGCTACTTTACAGGAAGTAAACGTGTTTATTAATGAACGAGTTTAAAGCATCATTTATGATTTAACTGGTGAAACATCGTTAAAACTCACCAAAGTCCCTGAATGTATTGTAAGATATAAATGTATAATTCTGTATAAAGTCAGAGACGACTTCATGTTATTTAAACTGTGCAGATAGTAAATGTTCATTAACATGAATTACATTGTTAGAAACATTTAGATCATCTTAAGGTGAAAATAAAGGAATCTGGTTTCAGAGTAAAGTTGTGACGTGAAAATAGGAAGGGAGGAGGAGGAGGAGGAGGAGGAGGAGGGGGGGGGGGGGCAGCCAAACAGAAATGAAACCAGCTCAGAGCGCCACAAACCAAAACACCAGCAGCCTGAGACCAGACGGGTCCGTGTGAATCCAGAGACGAGATGAGCGAGTTACAGCGACCTCATCGTTAGGAGGCAACGACGTCATGATTATTATTTACTTTAAATGAACGGTGTAACTACAGAGCGAATTATAAAGGTGCTAAATACAATAATCAGAGCATTTCTATCATGTTTCGGCTAGCAGCTAACGGGGCTAGCAGTGCAAAACACATCTAACAGTGCAAACTACAGCTAACAGTGCAGAGAGAGCTAACAGAGCTAACATAGCTAACAGTGCAGAGAGAGCTAACATAGCTAACAGAGCTAACATAGCTAACAGTGCAGAGATAGCTAACAGAGCTA